GGGGGAGGAATGTAGCCCAACCACTTGGACGATCGGGGATTGAACGCCGACCTGCATGAAGCGAGCCGGTTGCTCTACCGTCCACCTCAAGTGGTCGATGAGAAGACGTAGAAGATTATAAAAATACTTTTCTCAGGCCTTATAGATCCTACTCTTTTCAAGTCCCGTGGTCAGACCAAGGGGGAAAAATAACGAAGTTTGGGAGATGAGGTCAAGAGGTCAGGCCTAAGGATGATGTGGTGGTAGGAGCCACGTCCAGTAGTCACGTCCAGTGGTCACGTCCAGTGGTCACGGTAAGGGGTTATGTCCGGGCATCATGCAAAAGGTTTCATGTTCCTGGATCACGATCAACGATGGCGTAGGTCAGAGATCGCATCTGGGAGAGGTAGTCCTGGGGTCAGCACCGGGGGTCATGCCTCACTCCTGGTTACACAAGTGCTTCTTCATTCATGACCACGCCGGCTGCTTCAGCTACTACACGCGTACATTTTTCGCCACATTTATAATCCCTTAAACACATATGTACATACGCAAGCAGACACATACACGCGCCAACAAGGTGGATACAGGTGGGAACTGAGTACCTATATGAGCCACAGAGACGTTATAAAGAATTTTTTTCAGTGTCAGAGTAGTTAGTAAATGGAATGCACTAGAAAGTGATGTGGTGGAGGTTGACTCCATACACAGTTTCAAATGTAGATATGATAGAGCCCAGTAGGCTCAGGAATCTGAATATCAGTTGATTGACGATTGAGAGGCGGGACCAAAGAGCCAAAGCTCAATCCCCGCAAGCACAAATAGGTAAGTACAAATAGGTGAGTACATACACTTATATTATAATATATAATATATTATATATTATATATTATTATATATATGTTGTATATTAGTTCATCTTGATACAATGTAATCACAAGAATTTGACGTGTCCTGGCGATAATATTGTGGGAGTGCCCTGGAATTAAATTCTTTCCCCTGGACTCACGGTAATGCATCTGTCTGGAGAATTCAGATGGAATGGGTTCGATCGCACCGTACGGCCTTTCATCGTGGTTCAGTCGGTGGTGCGCATGCCCAGGACGTCCAGGGGAAGCGAGTTCGATCCCATTCTCACTACATATTTAGCTCTAACGAACTTACACCTTAAAAAAATCAATGACACCCCAAAACACAACGTAACCTCAACGTTATTTCGTTGACGTTATCAAAACGCTTCTACAACGTTGTGTTTATTTTGACTGGACGTTGAACTTGTGGCTTAATATCCTTGGAAACACAAACCGTAACTGTCTCTATTTTCCGCTTGTTACAACTTGTAATAAAATTGTTACATCTTGGCTTAACGTGTTAATGACGTATTAGAACGTTGTTACAACTTACTATATTGGTTGTTATAACTTGTTAGGAGGTGTTAAAACCTGTACCAACGTTGTACCAACGTCGTAGTTTCGGTGTGTGTGTTTGGCGGGTTAAGGCCACTCATATACCGCAGGAGTCGAAGCTGCCAAAAAACGCCATGAAACTTCACCCGTAGAGAGTAGAACAAGTATTTGTGCGTGGATGTTAATGCCGCTGGTCCAGTGTGGCCAGAATCTAGTAGGCCAGACTACCCGTTAGCCTGGCCTAGTTCCTTGCGGCAGCGCGTATTCCATCAGGCAAGCTGGGGCGGTGTTATCGAGCATGTAGATCACCTGGCAGCAATCCTTCACTGTCAACACCCCGGCAGACCAGTTGCGCTCGACGCTGATCGACGCGGACACATCCTCGTAAGCAGGAGACAGAGGCGGGGAGAAGGAGGGGAAGAACACCTGTGAATATTCCTCGGCCAAGGTTGGGTTAGGACCTAATGATGGTGTTTTGGATTTCCATGTATTTCTTGAAGCAAATCAAAGAATGGAGCAACATGGGGACATTCTTTGTTTATCCTTTCGTCCTCTCATACGTCGTGTTGTTTATACTATCGATCAATCCGTTAAAAAAGCGACGAATTAGTCAAGCCAACAGCACCGCAGTATTGACGTTTTCAAAGTATTGGCTTCCATAAGTTAGTCTCGCTGTTTGAATTCGTACGTTTCTTGGGTCAGGATTTATCTAGCGCTTATTCAACCATTTACGAAACCAATGCATCTTTCCACAAACACAGTGGTTTTGTTTGCATTTATTAAACAGTATATAAGCTCCGAAGCCCAACTAGGTTGTTTATAACCATAATAACCTTGGATTGTGAGGTTCAGAAGCTCGTAAACAGTTGAATAAATGAGATCAAAGCCGCCATGATTGAAGAAAGATATACAGGTTTCGCAAGTGGCTGCGTAAATAATGAAACCTGGCCCCTTTGGTAAGACAAACGGTTGTATTTCTGACAGAGTGGCCAAGCGAGAGAACAGGTTAGAAGAACACAAGGATACACAGAAACAGGAACCTTGTGCTTGAATCACCTTAGAGACTGAACACAAAAAAACATCCCTTAGCTTCTCTTTTGTTTTACCAATATATATATTTCACCTGAACAAGTCCACAAGGGCCGTGTCGAGGATTCGAACCTGCGTCCGCGAGCATCCCTGACTTTTTTGATTAATTTTTAAATTTTCATATTAGAAATTTTCACATTTCTATTTAAATGTTTCAAAATTTATGCCACAATATTTGATTTAGAATGCTGTGCAATTTGATTTAGATATTTTATTAGATTGCTGTTCACCATTATTGCGATGATCAGCTATAATTTGTTGCGAGTGCAGTTTCTAATTCTAATTCTAACAAAGAATTTCCAGCAGCGCCCACAGGTAGTTAGGAGGAGGACCTCTTGACCCGTCCGGGAAGATTTAGAAGTGTGAGAGACATGGAGGCGTGGAGGAGGTCTAGAGACAGTGGGGAAGAGGTGGAGAGGCACTATAGAGGCAGGGAAAGAGGTGGAAACGTACTTGGGGCAAGGGGAAGGGGTGGAGAGGCACTAGAGGACGGGGAAAAGAGATGAAAATGTACTAGGGGCAGGTGTGGGGAGGGGAGACTGAAGGACTAGTTGGGGCAAGTGAGGGGAACTAAAAGCTTAACAGCCATGGATAAGTGGAAATGGGGAATATGGATGACATCCATGGGTAACTGGAAATGGGGATATGAATGACATCCATGGGTAACTGGAAATGGGGATATGAATGACATCCATGGGTAACTGGAAATGGGGATATGGATGACATCCATGGGTAACTGGAAATGGGGATATGGATGACATCCATGGGTAACTGGAAATGGGGATATGGATGACATCCATGGGTAACTGGAAATGGGGATATGGATGACATCCATGGGTAACTGGAAATGGGAATATGGAGGACAGCCATGGATAACTGGAAAAGACCAAGCAGTAGCAGCAACCTAAACATGGAAGAATTACCACCAAAAGTTTATCCTGTACCAATGCTTTTTTTTACCACAATTAAGACATGAGATTGGCCCCAGAGCGTACTAACAGCAGCGCCGACACCGACCGCACAGACCGAAGATCCCCCCCCCCCTCTCCCCTCCTTCGAAGATATCTTCGAAGATAAGATACGAAGATACTCTCACTACCCGAAGCCTTACTTCATACCTGTTGGCCATATACGGTGATAAGTCTCAATTAGCCAGCTAATGAGCAATGGACGCTGCGGCCAAATAAGGAATCTTTGTTTCATGGTATAACTCGATTATGGGTGTGGAACCTCGTAGCCAAACAGTTTGTTTGTGTTTGTACGTGTTTGTTTGTCTGTGTTTGTCGTGATCTAGGCCGGGTTAGTCAGGCTTGGTAGAAGGGGCGACTCCAATGTTGTTTATTGTATACTCTTTTGCACACACACACGATTGCTTGCAAGTGTTTATTGTTTACGCAAAAACATTGTCGTCAATGCAACATTATATACGCTTGATTCGTCTGATAATATCGTTATATATGTGGGGTATTGTAGCATATGTATCATTCTATATATGTTGGTATATTGTAGCATATGTATCATTATTTTTGTGGGTATTGTAGAATATTTATCATTATATATATATGTATGTGGGTATTGTAGCATATGTATCATTATATATGTGGGTATTGTAGCATATGTGGGTATTGTAGCATATGTATCATTATATATGTGGGTATTGTAGCATATGTGGGTATTGTAGCATATGTATCATTATATATGTGGGTATTGTAGCATATGTGGGTATTGTAGCATATGTATCATTATATATGTGGGTATTGTAGCATATGTGGGTATTGTAGCATATGTATCATTATATTTGCAGGTATCGTACGTAGCACCTCTCTCTCTCTCTCTCTCTCTCTCTCTCTCTCTCTCTCTCTCTCTCTCTCTCTCTCTCTCTCTCTCTCTCTCTCTCTCTCTCTCTCTCTCTCTCTCTCTCTCTCTCTCTCTCTCTCTCTCTCTCTCTCTCTCTCTCTCTTTCCAACATTCATAACATTCAATAACAATTTTAACATTGTTAAAATTGTAACATTCAAGTACGATTTTACTAGAGTTCTATTTAGCAATTATACGATTATATTACTAGTCACATACATCAGTATTTTTTAATACAAAGTTTAATATATAGTTTCGAAAATGAACTCGTTTGCTTTATAATTTAATTACGTTTGCAAAATTTAGTTTAGATTTAAAACATTTATTAGTAATTCGCGTCAGAGTTATAAACTAAAGTTTACACAAATTTCTTGAATTTTAGTTTACAGATTTAGTACAATTTATGAGCTTTATTATGTTCTATACCATGGCAAATAGGTTTGACTAAATGATATAAATTAAGATTACAGACTTTTGGTAGTAATTTGTAATTACAAGGACATGAAAGGTAATACTTTGATGCCAGGATTTGAGCTGAAATAAAGCTTCGTCTTGTGTTCATGACTTCGGGAAAACCATTTAAGAAAAGCTCAGAAGGTAATGATGTTTTTACTGTGGCTTAAGATTCCATTTATTGCTGTCATTCTTACATGCAGACCTGCTACAGCAATGGACAGTCCTGCTACAGCAATGGACAGTCCTGCTACAGCAATGGGTAGTCTTGCTACAGCAATGGGTAGTCCTGCTACAGCAATGGACAGTCCTGCTACAGCAATGGGTAGTCCTGCTACAGCAATGGGTAGTCCTGCTACAGCAATGGGTAGTCCTGCTACAGCAATGGGTAGTCCTGCTACAGCAATGGGTAGTCCTGCTACAGCAATGGGTAGTCCTGCTACAGCAATGGGTAGTCCTGCTACAGCAATGGGTAGTCCTGCTACAGCAATGGACAGTCCTGCTACAGCAATGGGTAGTCCTGCTACAGCAATGGACAGTCCTGCTACAGCAATGGGTAGTCTTGCTACAGCAATGGGTAGTCCTGCTACAGCAATGGACAGTCCTGCTAGAGCAATGTGTAGTCCTGCTACAGCAATGGGTAGTCCTGCTACAGCAATGGACAGTCCTGCTACAGCAATGGACAGTCCTGCTACAGCAATGGACAGTCCTGCTACAGCAATGGACAGTCCTGCTACAGCAATGGGTAGTCCTGCTACAGCAATGGACAGTCCTGCTACAGCAATGGGTAGTCCTGCTACAGCAATGGACAGTCCTGCTACAGCAATGGACAGTCCTGCTACAGCAATGGACAGTCCTGCTACAGCAATGGACAGTCCTGCTACAGCAATGGACAGTCCTGCTACAGCAATGGACAGTCCTGCTACAGCAATGGACAGTCCTGCTACAGCAATGGGTAGTCCTGCTACAGCAATGGACAGTCCTGCTACAGCAATGGACAGTCCTGCTACAGCAATGGGTAGTCCTGCTACAGCAATGGACAGTCCTGCTACAGCAATGGACAGTCCTGCTACAGCAATGGACAGTCCTGCTACAGCAATGGACAGTCCTGCTACAGCAATGGACAGTCCTGCTACAGCAATGGACAGTCCTGCTACAGCAATGGACAGTCCTGCTACAGCAATGGACAGTCCTGCTACAGCAATGGACAGTCCTGCTACAGCAATGGACAGTCCTGCTACAGCAATGGACAGTCCTGCTACAGCAATGGACAGTCCTGCTACAGCAATGGACAGTCCTGCTACAGCAATGGACAGTCCTGCTACAGCAATGGACAGTCCTGCTACAGCAATGGACAGTCCTGCTACAGCAATGGACAGTCCTGCTACAGCAATGGACAGTCCTGCTACAGCAATGGACAGTCCTGCTACAGCAATGGACAGTCCTGCTACAGCAATGGACAGTCCTGCTACAGCAATGGACAGTCCTGCTACAGCAATGGACAGTCCTGCTACAGCAATGGACAGTCCTGCTACAGCAATGGACAGTCCTGCTACAGCAATGGACAGTCCTGCTACAGCAATGGACAGTCCTGCTACAGCAATGGACAGTCCTGCTACAGCAATGGACAGTCCTGCTACAGCAATGGACAGTCCTGCTACAGCAATGGGCACACCTGCTACAGCAATGGGCACACCTGCTACAGCAATGGGCACACCTGCTACAGCAATGGGCACACCTGCTACAGCAATGGACAGTCCTGCTACATCAATGGGCACACCTGCTACAGCAATGGGCACACCTGCTACAGCAATGGGCACACCTGCTACAGCAATGGGCACACCTGCTACAGCAATGGGCACACCTGCTACAGCAATGGGCACACCTGCTACAGCAATGGACAGTCCTGCTACAGCAATGGGCTCACCTGCTACAGCAATGGGCAGTCCTGCTACGCCAACACCCACAGCACCAAACCACTTCTAACCACCCCACAACCTCACCGGACAACGCTCAATCCCCGACCACCAAACAATATCCCCCTTACCTCACCCCCCACCCCCCCCACCACCACCACTACCACCCCTCACCAAACAAATCCGCATTTGACAGTCGTGATGTACTGTGAACCCAATTAAAACCCTATTTAACGTTAATAAAGTTCAAAGCAACTGGTGCCAGCACAACGTAGATGAGAGTAGTGGTGATTATCATCATTGGCCAGAGTGAATACGAATGTTCGCAACGAGTGTATTTGTGCCGCTCATTATATTCATGTACATGTCGAGTGATTAGGTTACTGGATGACTGCAACTCGCGCTTGAAGCATGCCAATGCATCGAATACGCTTCTCAATATACCCGCGTTGCACGGACCTTTCCACACACTGATTAATGGACATAGATAGACATATATAGATTAATTCATAAACGTCAATAGTGTTGTGTTTAATTGTGGATTACGTGTTTTAAATATTCATTGATCTCATGGAAGAATGCCAACATAGCAAAACACACACCAAAACTACGACGTTAGTACAACGTTCGAACAAGTTTTAACACCTCCTAACCTGCAATAACAATCAACACCTTAAGCCAAGATGTAACAACTTTATTAGAAGTTGTAACAAGCGGAAAATAGAGATAGTTACAGTTTGTGTTTCCAGGGGTTAACATAGCAAAATAATAAAAAATATGAATGGGCAATTTTTGACCCGATTAAAATGCAGAATAAAGAGAAAACCTAATCAAAATTAATCTCACAAGAAAACAATTAAAAGATAACAATGATGGGAATGGTTTAATTAACGAGGACGAGAATTCTAATCAGGAGGAAGCATAACCAGAGCTTAGGACAACTCTATTCAATTTCACTAATCACTATACCTATACATACCTCCACTGTCCTCACACTTAATGCGTCGTAAATTGTTTACGGAAATGATCAACCCAATACAAGGCAACGTATTACTAACAACAACGTAATATCTACGTTTTCTTTGCATCATCCTCGATAGGTTAGGTAGGTTGTTTGGGTTCGTACGTTTCTGGTTAGGCAAAAACCATTCTATATGTTACGTGGTTGTTTCCAGCGTAGGACAGACACATATATAAGAACGAGGTTAGGTGGATATAAATAGGAGCTGCAAGGAATATGCTGATAGTCCCTCTGCTGCTTCCATTATTCTTATATTCTGAAATAATAGTCGAAGAACTAGACTGTTAAAATGATAATCAAATGGGTTCAATAATATATACGTAAATTCAACCTAATGATGAAGCTTAAAAAAAATTACTTTTCATCCGTAATTTGGAAGTCTATTGGAGAGATAATATTCATCACACACTGAGATCAGAGAATAAGTTAATAATTAAACACATGTTAATCTGGATTTTGTTATATTCCAAAAAGAAGAGAGTCCTATATTGGTATACTCCTATAAAGGTGAGTCCTATACAGGTGAATCCTATACAGGTGTGTCCGATAAATGTGTGCCGCATATATGTAAGTTATATACATATATGCTCTTAATAGCAATTTCATTCAGGGTATCATTTTCATCAGTCATACGCAGGTATGTCTATTGCAAGGGGGGGAGGGAGGAATCACAGGCATGTTCTTCGCAAGTGTTCTTAGCAGATGTGTGAAACTTGCAGGTGTGTTACATACACACCTGTTTGTGTTTCCGACGCGTGTTCCATGAAAACAAATCATTGTTCCTGAAGCAGTTGTTTAAGCTAGGTTGTTCTATTATCGATAGCTAATTATTGCCAATAGAATGTCGATAGATAATAATAGTGTCGATAGATAATAATAGTGTCGATAGCTATTATCGACACATACGATGGAAACGCTTTTATTAGTGTTAACTACCTAATTTATAATAAAATCTCCGTTAATATATTAATTACTTCCATCACCCACCGTTGATATATCTCAACAAATTGTCGTTTAAAAATGCTCCAAGTATTAAAAACACAACAAAAGTGTCAAAATCTAAAATTATACAACTCCTCTGCTGCCTACTTTTTCTAAAGGTCCACAAAAATCCTTTTTTTTTTACGCCGTGACTCTCAAAGTTTATGACCCTCGATGTTTCTAAATTATTGCTCCAATTAATCTCCTAACGACCGTATCGGTTGAAGTTTCTTAATGCCAAATTGTGGCTCTACAACGCTATTACTCTTGTTCTATAAACTTACTTATCTTGAGAAACCTTTGGTTATGATGAAGATTCCGTCTAGAAAATTTAAGAGAGTGGAAATCCGATTATAAAACTTGATTAAGAAAGTTCAAAGTCTTCTGTTATAATGATTAATATAACTTTTTGTTGTTATATCGCTATATAAAGTTTATATACAGCCAGCAGGAATATATACAATGAGAGGTGTATATATTCCCCATTATAATGTGTATATATAGAACTTATATATATATACAACATATACTTATATATATATTGTATATATATATAAGTTCTGTGTACTTAAACCCGTCCCGGTTTAAGTACACAGAACGTACTAAGTACACAGGACACTTGTACACAATATTTGCAGTCTCCGTGGTGTAGTGGTAAGACACTCGCCTGGCGTTCCGCGAGCGCTAAGTCATGGGTTCGTATCCTGGCCGGGGAGGATTTACTGGGCGCAATTCCTTAACTGTAGCCTCTGTTTAACGCAACAGTAAAATGTGTACTTGGATGAAAAAACGATTCTTCGCGGCAGGGGATCGTATTCCAGGGACCATAGGATTAAGGACTTGCCCGAAACGCTACGCGTACTAGTGGCTGTACAAGAATGTAACAACTCTTGTATATATCTAAAAAATATATACAATACCTAAAGCCACTAGTACGCATAGCGTTTCGGGCAAGGTGAGGTGGGGGGAAAAACACTTAGACTAAAACTTAATAGTAATTGAGCTTAAAGTATAAACTGCATTGGAAAAAAAAGATAAAAAAGGGAGGGAACATGGTAGAAAATAGCCAATATACAAGTTGGTCAACAAACAGCATTGTTTAACAATAGTAACGACTTGTACACAGTTTAAGTACATAGGACTCTTGTGTCCTGGGCTGTTTTACATACTTGAGTACTCTTTTACTGGTTGGTCAGGAAACAAATGAAGCGGCTTTATAGCAGCCATGCAAAGCGTCTTTCGCCTAAAGGCTAAACAAACTCTGCTAAATGATTTAGTGTAAAAACGCAAAAATATAAGCAATTCCATAGTGAAGAAAATAAATAAAAAACTTGATAAATTTCAGAAGCGACATCAGGACGGGAACTATCAGGAGAAAGCGCTAAGCCAAGGGCTCCTGACAGCTGAGTGGACAGCGCTTCGGATTCGTAGTCCTGAGGTTCCGGGTTCGATCCCCGGTGGAGGCAGAAACAAAAATGGGCCAAGTTTATTTCATCCTAATGTCCCTGATCACCTAGTAGATAGCTGCTACGGGTTCGTTGCTGGGGATGTGTGACAAAAGGGAGGCCTGGTCGAGGACCGGGCCACGGGGACGCTAAGCCCCGAAATCATCTCAAGATAACCTCAAGATAGCCATTATTATATATAGATAGATAGATATAGATAGATAGATAGATAGATAGATAGATAGATAGATAGATAGATAGATAGGTAGATAGATAGATAGATATAACACCTGTCATGGATCAGGATAGGGTTCAGGATAGGGATCAGGATAGGGATCAGGATAGGGATTTGGGATGGAACGGGGGCAAAGGAATGTTCCCCAGCCACTTGGACGGAGCGTGATAGGTCAGCGCTACTTACCCCCCCCCCCCACCATCCACCTCAGTAACCAAACATGGATTTTATATGTCATGTGTTGAGTTACACCTGGCACACCTAGGTAATGAGTGACACATCTGATTAGTGGCGCACCTGGGTGTAATTAACTCTACCAGTAATTAACTCTGATCACTAACTCTACACACAATGTAGGGCAATATACATAGTAGCCATAATAGAAATTAGCATTATAGGAATATATATATATATATATATATATATATATATATATATATATATATATATATATATATATATATATATATATTGATTTATTGAATTATTGATTTATTAAATCGAAAACATTGATTTATTGAATTATCAATGTAGACAGTAGGCGATATAACTCAGCAAAAGAAATATTCGACGAAGAATGACATATATAACAAAATAATAATAGTAATTATATAGGATAAAAACTCACACTTGTGTACTTGTGTGTACATGTGAAATTTTTGTAAAGAATTTACACCAAGTCCTTCGCTCTCTCCTGAATGTTTTATCAAGGTCTGAGTGTATGATTAGGACGAGTCTTACATCTCAACGTCTAATGGACGTTTGATTAGACGTTAACAAAGCACTCAGAAGAATGTGAAAGACTTGGTGTAAATTGTTTACATAAATTTCCCATATACACAAGTGAAGATTTTTATCCTATTTTATTATGTCTGTGAGAAGACATTACTATTACTAATAAATCTAATAATAATAATAATAATAATAATAATAATAATAATAATAATAATAATAATAATAATAATAATAATAATAATAATAATAATAATAATATACTCTGAGACGTAACTGATATCCATCACAAACAAAAACAGTCGTGCCAAGATAACGATATCATAATGTTACGACACAATTTTCACAGGTAATTAGGCAAAACTTGCACGTGAGGCGCTCTAAAACTTGTCTCTCTACACTTGATATCCAAACTGTAGCAATCTCTCCCTAGAATAATCATTGACCAAGAATGCTGATGATGCAGAGGGAGAAATTAGCTATTCCCTAAGGGTTGCAGGCCGGCTGGCGATGGTTAAGGGGCTAGAGACTATAATAGGGTAATGGAGCAGCTGTTGTTAGAAAATGGGAAGCGTGCTGGAAAAATAGGTAGCGGTTAGGGAATAGAAGCTATACCTAGGTTCATAGGGGGCGAAGGAATAGGTGTTCAAAGAATT